ATAAAATGAGACCCCGGAGAAAAAAAAAAAAAAAAAAAAAAAAAAAAAAAAAAGAAAAAGGCAACAACACAAACCTTTCCTTGTCTCACCTGATGTGCAGAGTCCTGACTCCTGCTACAGACCAGTATTAGTAACTTGCTGGTTTTCCCTTCTGTCTTCAGCTGCTCCTCTCTCTGCTTGCTCACACAGCAAGTATCAGGTGAAGGTGTGAAGTCCAGGAGTTTGGCCTGTTAAATCCTACAACAGTATGCTTGAGTTAGCCCTTGTATTCTATTCCGGTATTCCTGCCTGCATGGACTTGTTTCTCTCCAAGATTTAACTTTGTTTCTGTTGCTGCCTTTAATAAAGGAATAGTTTCAGGCAGGTATGACCTTGGCCTTTGCTAACAGAGTGTTAAGGAGCAAAGGCACTGCCAGGGAAAAGTGACACATACAAGTGTTCCTAGTTTCAGTATCACACCCAGGTGTGATAAACTTCACAGTGTGGAGTTTAGACTTGCCTAAGCAAGTGCCTCCAGTGTGATTCACCTTCTAGAAACAACTCCCTGAGCTTGAGTTTCTTCATGCAAAAGTCCTTTATTGGGGCATGTGCCTGTACTCATCCTTCTAGATAAAATACAGGGGCTGAATATTTTGAATTCATCTCAGTGATCTGTACAGTGTGTACTTTTGGATCTTCTGGGAATGGAAGGGATTTAGACTTTATATGGGTAGAAGTATAATTATCCTGAAAGGTAAATCAGTACTGTTGGGAAAAGGGAGGTCAGACCACCAAACACCCAGGACAGTGATAAACTGCCACAGTGGGTTTCTTGGCTGCTTTCAAACAGCAGTGGAAACCAAGGTGTGAATGCAAAGGAGCTGTATTTTAATCTCTGCCTATTTCTGGTTCCTGTATATTCTCAGTCCAGTTGTAATAGTCTCAGATAAATAAAATAATTATAAAGATAACAAACTCAATACAAAAATAAAAAGATATTATATACATAAAGAGACATGTTTTAAATTATTAAATGTAGTACTATATTGATGTATTAAATATATACAAATGTATGCTATAAATATATACAAATGTATGCTATAAATACTAATATGTAGTATTATATTGATGTATTAAATATATACAAATGTATGCTATTTATAGCATACATTTGTATATATTTACATGTATATTTCTATGTATATAGATACATAATATATTTACATGTATATATTTACATGTACATTTCTATGTATATAGATACATAATAACTATATACATAAAGAGACATGTTTTAAATTATTAAATGTAGTACTATATTGATGTATTAAATATATACAAATGTATGCTATAAATAGATCATGTGTAATACATAATAATGTATCTATACAAAGATAAGAAAAACAAATTCTAACGAAAATTTCCCCACTTCAGTCCAACTGTCCCCAGGTTTTTGAGGCAGAACTGTGCATCCAGCACCATCACATGTCCTTACCTAAATGAGAAAGGGTAAAAGGGTGGGTAAGCCTTTCTCCCATGGAACTGTACTTACTCATAGTTCCTTTGAGCTGCATCTCTAATCCTGTGTTCAGTTTTGGACTCCTCACTGCAAAAAAGACTTTCAGGGCTTGGCCCATGGGTTGTGCTCTCCTCCTCCTCCCAAACCCAAATTTTCTGCAGTAACACCAGGTACAACCCGAGCCAGAGGCTCCACAGCACCCAGTGCTCACAGCAGGGACAGAGGGTGAGAAGTGCCACTGTCCCAGGCAGAGCCTGGGGAAGGGAGGGCAGGCTTGGAAGGTAAGAGACAGGGACGAATTCGCTTTCCTAAGACTCTCAAAAGCTCATTGGAGGCTTCCTCAATAAGAGCAATCCCAAACAAGCAAAATAGGAAGAACACATCTGCAAAGTAAATAGTCACTCCCTCAAAGGCCTGGTTCTGCTCCACTGGTCTCTCCACAGACCCTACAAACAGGGGACTGCTGCTGCTGAACGGACCCTCATTCTCTTTCTTATAGAGCTGAGTCTTTGTAAGCATTGCCAAGCCAGAGGAGGAGGGGAGAGAGACTGCTGCTGCCCTCTGAAGGCATCACCTGCTCTGTGAGTCAGTCAGCTCACCGCGACAATTAATCAGGAACAAAAGAAAAGAGATGAGAGAGGTCCAGATCTTGAACAATTTCCTCTCCATGCTGTAAATCCCAGGCAAAGGAGGACAGCTATGTTGATGCAGACAAACAGTGGATTAGATTAAGCATTGGGCAAAGCCAAAGAAATAAGCTTTTGAAAATGGGCT